ATTCCTTACACCAGCTTCTCCGAGGGTCTTGACCCTGTGAATGCTCACTGTCTCCCTAGGGGTTCTGTACCCCTGCCTTCCTGAGGCCCCTCCAGCCCCCCGCTTGGCAGTTCATCACATTCTTCCTCCCACTATGTTCTGTGCCCCTTGGTTGTTGCCCGTGTATTTCAGGGCCCAGCACAGTGTCTACACCATAATAAAGACTTAATTGATACTTACTTTTAAATCAATAAATGCACCATTGTACTTGGCTGCTTAACATTGCCACCTAGACTGTGAAGTTAGGAGCCCGGATAGTGGAGTTGTCCTTGAGTGCGCAGATGTGAGGCCGACCTCACACAACCCTCCCCTCCTCCACCTGTCAGCCACGTGACCGTGACTGTGGGCAAGCTGGCAACTCTCAGCTCCCTCATCTGTCAATGAGGCTTTCTGCCACCAGGGTTGCCGTGAGGCTGAAATAGGATAATTTCCGTGTTTTGGTAATTTCAGCAGTGGGAAACAACAACAGCAATTTTGTCTGATTGAAGCTAAAAGAGTTGTTGACAAAATAGGGAGCAGTTCGCAGGACTGTTGGCAAGGCTGGTGAGCCGGGCCCAGAAGCTCTGCAGCCTGGGTGACGCCCCACCTCACGCCCAGGAGCTGCCCTTGCCGGCTAGTGCTCGGCCGGCCCAGGACACCGCGGTCCCCCGCTGCGGCGGGCCGCAAACCCGGTCCCCAGGCGCTCCCTCGGTTGTAGAAGGAGCGCCAGCCCCGCCTCCCGCAGGGCCCCGCCTCCCACGGAGGCCAGGCCTCTGATTGGTTGAGCCTGCATCACGTGGCCGCCCGCTGGCTGCAGGGGATGCCGGAAGAGCCGGAGTCTGCGAGCGGAGCGAGGAGTGGATTGTGTGTCCTGCGAGGACTGTGGGGCGGGAAGCTCCCCCAGATGGGAAGGGGCTCCTGATGCCGGGCAGCCGAAGGGTGACAGGCGGCCACAGAGTACCCGGACACTAAGGGTCCGCACTGACGGCCAGCCACGGCCAGCACGCGGCCCCTTGGTGAGCTGAGCGGGCAGCAGCTATGGTGGCGCCGCGAGCGGGGTGGTGGCCCGGACCGGCTTGGGTGGTCTAAATGGTGACAAGTGTTTTGGAGATAAGGCAGCGTGTCAGTCTGCTGGGGCTGCCCAAACGAGGTAACAACAGGAGTTTATTCTCCCCCAGCCCTGGAGACGAGAGGTGTGAGATCAGGGTGCTGGCAGGGTCAGTTCCTTCCAGGGCCTGTGAGGGATGGTTCTGTTCTAGGGCCCCCTACTTGGCTTGCAGGTGGCCATCTCCACCCTGTGCCTCTTCACATCGTCTTCCCTTTACGCATGCCTCTGTGTCCACGTCCCCCCTTTCTATGAGGATGCTACTCATTTTGGACCAGGTCCACCCTAATGACCTCATTTTAACCTCATTACCTCTGTAAAACCCCGTCTCCAAATACCTCACATTCTGAGGCATTGTGGGTTAGGATTCAGCCTATGAATTTTGAGGGGGGACACAGTTCAGCCCATAAAAATGCCCTGTGTCCAAATTTCCCCTTTTTATAAGGACACAAAGCAGATTGGGGTAGGATCCTACCCTACTCCAATATGACCCCATCTTCATTCATTGTATCTGCAATGACCCTATTTCCAAGTAAGGTCCCATGTTGAGATACTGGGAGTTAAGACTTCAGCATGTGAATTTGGGGGTGGGGCTCATAATTCAACCGATAATACAGGGATAAGTCAGGATGGCTTAGTTGAGGGGTAGGGATCAAGGGCAAGCATTAAGGATGAATTCACATGTTTTGACTGAGCAATTAGAGAATGGTGGCACATTTAGTAAGGTGAAGAGAAGATAAAGAAATGGAATTCAGGGCCAGAGGTCCAGGTGACCTGTCCTATCCCATTCTTTAATGATTGGCTTAGTGAGGGACCTCTGCCCCAACCAGGGCCAGTAGGATATAAAGAGAGGATTGCTGTAGGCTTTTGGAAAGATCTTAGCATCAAGAGGCCCTTGAGAGGCTAGGATTACTCTCTCCAGTCACACCTGAATGGGAAAGCATGTGGCCAAAAGGGTTTCTAGAAGTCATCCTGTACTTGTGGGTGGATGCAGTCTTTGGACGAGGTCAAAACTGTGGAGAGCAGAGTGAGGCCAAGGGAAACACCTGGATTCTTGGCCGTGGTACTGAGCCACCAGATCAACAGTTTTGAAGCTCAGCACTCCTGTGAGTTTGCACTTGTGTAAGCTAATAAGGGTCCTTGTTGCTTGGCTCTTTTGAGTTTAGATAACTTGTTACGTGCAGCCAAGAGCATCCTTAAGTGGTAACATGCATTATCCCCTCCCGTGGGCTGGATGATCTCTGAGGTCTGGGGGGCCATGTTTGGTTTGTCTCTGTGTCCAGCTCAGGTCCCAGTACTCAGGTCATGCTTGTTGAATGAATCAGTGGATGATGAGTGTCATGTGCATTAAGGTGTGGAAACTTCATCATCTTTCAGAATAGCTGTAGTCGTTGATAATATATTCTGGCCTCACTCCATGCTGCGAACCAGATAGTTATGGAGCCAAAGAACGACCTGGCAGTCTTCTCTTAGCCATCTCCAACACCCTCCCTCCCCAGCTTTGGAGCCAGTCCCCCAGTTAATCTCGTCCATCCTACTCTCAAAACATATCTCGGATCCATCCCCTTCTCTCTACTTTCACTGCTTGGTCCAGGCCACCGAGATCTTTGGACTGTTGTTGTGCCTCCCAACACGGTGCCAGGTTCCTTGCTAAGCTTGCTTTTGGTTCTCTTGCCACTCTGAAGCCAGAGCAGTCTTCTAAAAATGTAAACCACACCATGTGCCCCCCTTGCTTAAAACCCTCCAGTAGTTTCCCCCTCCACCCCCTCCCCAAAAAAGTCCAAGTAACAGGCAAATTCATTACCATGACTTCCAAGGCCCCATGTGACCTCCCTTTCCTGCCCCTCCAACTCCATGCAGCCCCTTCTTCCCTTGCTTGTCCCATTACACCTCCCTCCACACTGGCCTGCTTTCAATTCTGTGGACACTGTAAGCTTTCTTCTGCCATGCCATCATGGCACATGCTTTTCCCTCTGCCTGGAATACTTCCCCACCATTAAAAAAAAAAAAGTTTTAGATTGGTGGAATGTATTATACTTAGAAAGAATATATAAGATACATACATATGCATTGCATACACAAACACACACAGAGTTTAAAGAACGATTATAAATCTAGCACCCAGCTAAGAATAAGAAGATTAAGAATAGAGGATCCTGTCAGGTGCCCCACCCAGATTTTTTCTTCCACCCACCCCCGGAAGTGACCACTGACCTGACATTTGCAATAATTCTTTGTTTTCCTTTGTAGTTTTACAATCTATTTGTAATTCCCCCAAAACATTTATATTTGCATATTTTTGAATTTATATATGGCATTATACTATATGTATCCTTTTGTTTTTGCCTTATTTTTTTCAATGTTATTTTGTGTGTGAGATTTTATAAGTGTGTTTGCATGTTGCTATAATTCATTCCTGTTTGTGATTCTAGTGTTTCATATGATGACTATTCCACAATTTATCTATCTATTCTATTGTGGGTGGGCATCTGGGTTGTTTCCCATTTGGGGCTGTTGTAAGCAATACTACATGGAATTTGGGGTAAATATGTCGTAGGGCAGGTAGAAAAAAAGTTTTTTAGAGGAATTTTCTAGAAATGGATTTGCTAGGCTGTAGGTTTGGGGCATCTTCAACTTTACTAGATGAAGCCAAACTGCTTTCCAAGACGGTTGTATACATTAAATACAGTGCATGAGAGTACACTGCTGATCACTACTTGGTCTTACCATACCTGTTAGTTTTCATCCTCCTGGGGATTGTGCGAGCCTCACCCAAGCACTGGGCACTGCTCCAAACTCTAGCGTGACCCTCACAACAGCCCTGAGACATCAGTGTCATCATTCGCATTTTGCAGATGAGGAAGCGAAGGTCCAGCTGGTTTAAATCATCAGCACGTTGTTGCTGGGCTGGAATTCAGGCTCCGGTCTGTGCACTTGGAACCCATGCTTATTCTGCAGTGTCATATGCTAGCTCTGGAAATGTTTGTGGGCCCATGTCCAGTATCAGTGGATAACTATGAGCATCTTGGGGATGGAACTCCCTTGAGGAGCTTAGTGCTTGAACCCCAGTCCTTGGTGCACATCAGAATCACCCAGTCACCATCCCAAACCCACCAAATCAGAAGTGACAACAATGGGGATCTAGACAATGCAAAATGGTATCTTGTTATGGTTTCAATTTGCATTTGCCTGTTGACTAATGACATTGAGCATCATGTCATTAACTTACTTGTCATTTGAATTTTCTTTGGAGTCTGTTCAAGTCCATTGCTCATTTAATTGGGTTGTTTGTCTTATTGATTTGTTAGAATTCTTTATGTATTGTGGATATGTCCTTTATAGTATATGTGTTGCAGATGTGTTATCTCAGTCTGTGGCTTGTCTTTTCATTTTTCAAGGCGTCCTTTGAAAAATAGAACACTTTAGTGTTGATGAAACCCAAATGAGCATTATGTTTTTGTTTTATGGTGTATCTTTGCCTATCTCAAGGTGGGAAAGACTTTCTGTTACATTGGGTGTGTGCATTTTTAATACATTTCCCAATTGGTTCTGCTGTGCACCAGAGTTAGAGAAGCCTGGGTATAAATGGTTACCCTAGGTCTGGGGTCAGATCTGGGTTTGACTTCCAGGTTTGCCACTTAATGAGCAAGTCACTTTGTTTCTCTGAGCTTCAGTTTCCCTATCTGCAAAATGAAGCAAAACTAGGGCCCATCCACAAAATTTGTTAGAAGGGTTCAGTGAAATAAAGCTCAATGAAATAAAGAACTTAGCAAAATGCCTAGTGTGCAGAAAATGCTCTATAAAAGCTGTTTTTGTTTACCTACTGGCTAGTTTCAAGCAACAGGATGGAATAACATGGTTTGTTGTTTGCTTTCAGTACATCAAGTCCTTCTACAATGAATCATGGGAAAGAAGACAAGGGCATACAATAGACCCGGATACTCTGACTCTGCTCTGGTCTGTGACGGTGTCCATATTCGCCATTGGTGGACTCGTGGGGACTTTAATGGTGAAGCTGATCGGAAAAGTTCTTGGGAGGTTAGTGGGGGTTGTCTCTGCTTGGGGATCCTCTCTGTGATGTTCACAATATGTTGATATCATAGTCAAGATCCCAGAAGGCAACAGAATTCCATTTAGACATTCCAGCTAGGGATGTTTTAGTACCAGAAGAGCAAGGGGAGGAGATAAGGCACGCGAGGCCAGGGAGGAAATGAAGACCATGGACAGTGGGCTGACAAGCAGGAGCTGAGGTTGTGGAGGGCTATGTGGACTGGGCTATGTCAGCGCCTATTGTCCAAACAGGGAGGGAGGAGGGGAGAAATAGCCTGCCTTCTTTCTCCTCCCACCACCCAGGAGGACCAGCTCCCAGTGCTCAGAGCAGGACAGGGGGGGAGGAGATGGATCTGGCAGCAGGAGCAGATGGAGAAGAGTCAGGACAGTGTCTTAGTGATTGTTCCAGATAAGTCCTCATAGGATGGCGTTTCATTATATGACTGAATGATAACTTACTAAACCAGTCTCCCATGGATAGACATTGGGGTTGTTTCAGATCTTTTGTTTTACAAATACAGCTGCAGTGAGTGTCAAACACTTCACATTGAAATTTCCCATCCAGGTCCTCTGCAGTCAGATCCACTTTACCTCCTGAGCTTCATTTCTCGCTTATTTCTGTCCTGAAGACTTCTCTGAGATCAGATTGATTATCAGTACATTTGCCCATACATTTTTCTCTGTTTCTTCACTTGTAATTTCTTGGGGGATTATTGAGGTGTTAGGGGAAAAATAGAGTCTCTGCAGCATTCATGTCTGAACTTGACTCATGAGTCTTCCACTCTCCAGTCGTGTGCCTTTGGTCAAGTCCTTTAATGTAATTGAAGTTCAATTTCTTCCTCTGTAAAGTGCCCTGCAGGAAATGTTACAGGGACCAGAGAAAATGAGTGGAAGGAGAAGAACCCGTTAACAGGAACTCACTAAATAGAAGCTACTCTCTCTTTCTTTTTTTTTTTTAAAGATTTTATTTATTTATTTGACAGAGAGAGACACAGCGAGAGAGGGAACACAAGCAGGGGGAGTGGGAGAGGGAGAGGCAGGCTTCCCGCTGAGCAGGGAGCCCGATGTGGGGCTCGATCCCAGGACCCTGGGATCATGACCTGAGCCGAAGGCAGACGCTTAACGACTGAGCCACCCAGGTGCCCCGAAGCTACTCTCTTATTTACCGAATGGCTTACCGTCCTCCTCCTCACCCTCCTGACACCCATACATAGCAAGTGCTTACCAGCTCTCCATATTGCATTGACCTGAACTGGCGAGGAGATTCAACAGACCCCAGAAAATCTTTCCACTCCTTGGAGCTACAGAAGCACTATTTAAAAAGCTGTCACTCCTCACTTTACCCTCGGCCTCACATCCCCAGCAAGGAGCAAGTTAGAACTGATGGTGTTTCAGAGCAGGCTTTCACAAGGCTGGGGCAGGGAGCCACCGTGAAAACATGCATGTCATGCTCATGTGGTACCCCAGTGAGGCAGGGGAGGTGCTGACATCTTCCTTGACCCTAAGCCACTTCTAGGTGGTAGGTAACACGTGGGAACTCTGCACTCCAGAGAAGTACAGTTGTTGCATAGTGAGTGAGGGCTGCCATTTCCTGAGGTCCCGCAACGTTCCAGGTGTGCACACACACGGTCTTCTTTCATTTTCTCTACTCCCTGGGGTCTTGGATGGGGGATGGAGTTGAAAGCTTAAATGGTGCCTGAGCTCAGGTTGGACCCAACTCCACAGCACGATGCCCCTTCCACTATGCCAAGCAGAGCGTGAGTAGGGATCTGCTGGCAATGGTACTATAAAATCCGTGACTGTTTGACCACAGGGAAGTGACTAGCTGGCCCCCAGATTGGCCTCACTGACCAGGGTCTGTGAAGCACTGTTGCTAAACCCCTGGCCCAAGCCAGTTTCTGACCCCAGTCCTCTGGTCTGTTCTAGTTAGATATAGTTACCCCTGGCCCCTGGATTTATGGCCTGTCACATACACCTGCCTTGTATCTGTCGTGGCACTTATAGCCCCAGGCTGCCCCCTAAGGAGGCTCTAAACCCAACTGGATGGTACAGGGACAGCCACAGTGGTCGGGGTCAGGATGCTGTGGCCCAGCAAGTCCTGATGCCCCAGTTTGCCAGGTGTGTGATGTGGGACTTTGCCCCGTCACCTCTCATCCGACACTTCTCCCTGATGTAAAATGAAGGCAACGAAAGTGGCTTTGCAACTCTCAACAGCATGGTGCAAAAAAAAAAAAAAACCCGGAAGGAATGGGAAAGAGACAATATGTTTCAAAGAAAGTGATTTTCTAAGTGAAGGAGGAGTTCTAGGCTGGAGAGGATTCTATCAAAAGGTGTTAGTCCTTATGCCCTGGGCAGCTGGCAGTTCCTTTTTTCATCATTACAGGAATAAAAGTTGAACTGAGATGAAGTCTTGGCTTGAATAGTAACTCTGTTGGGAGGAAAAGGAGCAAAACCCAAAGTCCACTACCATTTATTCACTCCCTGCTACATACCAGTGCTTGGCATTCCATACCTCCTTTACTTCTGCAACTCTGTATTATTGTCCCTGTTCTACAGGCGATGCATCTGAGGCCCTGAGAGAGGCCTAGCAACTTGCCAAGGTGACAAAGAACGAGGTTGACCTGAGATTCAGATCTGGCCTGTTTGACCAGAGCCTGTGATTTTCCTATCACATGGTATTTATTGAAACTGCTTCTTGATGCCTCATTGTTTGTCTCCCAGGGGGGCTTTTGGGGAAAAAGAAGAGGCTGAGCTTAATGTGCAAGGTTGGGATGGGGTCCGACAGAAGGGGCTCAAACATGTGACTGGTGGGGGGAAATTTGGGTGGAGTTGGGGTCCTCAGAGTCAGGTGGGCCTGGTCACCAGCAGGTCCAGCAGCAGGCTGATCCTTGTTAGAACATATTGAACTCGTCTGTGATTTGGGAGAGGGGTGAGGACAGGGGAACATGAGGGGTCAGGAATGGTCTCTGGAGATGAGTCACCCCCATTATCTGGAGTGCAAGTTCCTTGTCCCCCGGAGTCTCTGGCTTGGAGAATTCTGCTTGAATCCTCCCCTCTTTTGGAGTCATCTGTCCCCTGCTTACATGGCTCTAGTGACAGAGCCCTTCTTCCCTCATGAGACAGGATGGTGACAATGTGCATGGATGCTGGGTAGAGGATCCTTGACACTTACAGCGCCTGGGGCCACGTATGAGTTTCTCAAGTTCTCCAAGCTTGGCTTAGTTAGTGGCAAAATGAAGATAAAGCAATGGCCCATCTGAGGGTTGTCATGAAGATGAAATGAGATGGTGGATATAAAGTGCACATCTCAGTGCTGGCTAGTGTCATTGTCATCTTTGTCCCCATCCTCATGAGCTCTTTCTGAGGTGCATCAGCCCATCACTCACAGAGCCAGTTGTGAATATGTTCTTCTAGTCGCACTGAAGTTGGCCTCCTTACACTTAGCATTGGATCTAGTTTTTCCCTCTAGAGCAGAGCAAATAACCAGAAGGGAAACTCACTCGGGCTTTGAAATCAGATCCTCAGGCATATTCTTGAGCAAGCTGCATAACCACATTCGCCCATGCAGGAGATACTTTTGAACACCGACTGGGAGCCAGGCACTGTGACTGGCACTTGGGCCTCAGCGACAAATGGCGGAGCCCGAGCCCGCTGCCTAGCCGTGAACAATTCACTCTGCACGTCATCATGGCGTCATCATGGCGAGCGGAAGCACTGTGGATGGGGGGATGGGGAGTAGAGATACAAGAAGAGGCCGTTTTAAATCTGTAAAGCTCCAGTAAGCAAGCCCACCTAAGGGAGCGGCTGTGGGGGTGGCAGCAGATACTGTTTACAAAATGTGTCATGTCACTCACACCTGTGACAGGAACCCAAACCAAACTGGCTCAGGCCCAGACAGAACTAATTGGTTCACGTAACTGGAGTATAACTCAGCTGACTTCACCTGTCTGTTTTCGCTCTCTCTCAGCTCTGCCTTGCTCTGTGTTGGCTTCGGGCACAGGGGCTCTCTCCCTGGTGAGGGCAAGATGGCCCCAGGGTGACACTTTTCCTGCTCAGTATCCCCAGCACAGACTTCTCCTAACAGTAGTTCTAGTAAAGTCCCAGGCCTGAATCTCATTTACTTGTGTGAGGTTGCATACCCTTGGAGCTTCTCAACCAGGGGCAATTTTGCCCCAGCAGGGGACAAGATCTGGAGGCGTTTCTGGTTGTCACAGCTAGAGGGTGCTATCAGCATCCAGTAGAGGCCAAGGAGGCTGCTAAACATCCTGCAATGCACAGGACAGGCCCCACCACAAAGAATTTTCTGGCCCCAAATATTAATAGTTCCCAGGCTGAGAAATCCTGGCAAATAACATTCTAAATTTAACTTAAAATTACTGTATCATGTGCCCATTCCCAGAGCCACAGTGGGGTGGGGATGTGACCACCTTGAGCCCCCACACAGAGTGAGGGCGGGAATGTTTCTTGGAGGAAATCCAGGGGACTCCCGTCAGAAGAAGGATGATGGGTATTGAACAAGAAGTAACAACCAGCCTCCTATACATCATGCTAGGCCAATAGCAGGTTCTCAAAAGTGTTATTTTTCTCCTCTTTTTCTACGTCAGTATTTTTAAATGTGTCTTTACCTTATAGATGTGGGAATGAACATTAGCTCTCTAGGTGCCTGCTGGGGGAGCCTGCAATGTACATGGCAAGCACGTACTAGGCTTGAACAACAGAAATTTCTTCTCTCACAGTTGGGGAGGCTGCAAGTCCAAGATCAAGATGGCAGCGGGGTTGGTTGCTCCTGAGTCCATTCTCTTTGGCTTGCAGGTTGCTCTCTGCTCACACGGTCTTTTTCCCTATGCGAGAGCATGCCTGCTGTCTGTTTCTCTTCTTACAAGGACCCCAGTCCCATCAGATTAGGGCCCCACCCCTAGGACCTCATTTAACCATAATTACTTCCTTGAATGCCCAATTTCCAAATACAGTCACGTTGGGGGTTAGGG